TTAAGATCTCCACCCAAAAAGTAAGATTAGAAAAGGGGGGGGGGGGGGGACCTAATCTGCCTGCATTTCCATACTCTCATCAAATCTCAGACAATTACCCCTTTTGAAGTTAAATAGTTTGGGGTGGACTTCCCTTCCTTGGTGGGAAATATAGCATTAGCATATAATGCCATTAAATAAAATAAATATGATACATAAATAAATAAATAGAATACAATTAATATTATGGCTCTGTATGTATTTAATACTTTTCCGTTTCTCATATTAAAAATAACAGCAGCAACTTCTTAAAAGGGGGCTTTCGGGCACACCCAAGGGTGCCAGGCACCCAGTTCTGGGCCACTCTTCCACTTTGACTGGCAGCTCACCAGAGAAAGCACTCTTTCATCATGCAAAATTTAGTGTTTTGGACTTTTGCTGCTGTCATCAGGAAGAATCCATAGCTGTCTCAAAAAGCAACCTGCATAGCTAGGCAATGGGTGGGAGTTTGCATAAGACAGATGACAGAATGTGACATGGCAGGAGAGACAGAGGCAGGGAGGGGATCCAAAAAGTCACCGCATGGTTGTGGCCACCATCTTGACTTTGTGGAACACCCCCCCCCTTGCAGAGACCCCCATTCATCACGAAAGGAACCTAGAGGAGAGGGGCAGTTATTACTAACACCCAGTCCCAATGCACCTTCTGCCCTAGAACAAAGACTTAATTCCTCCTCAAAAGTAGCAGAGCGCTGAACAGGCCTGCTTTTTGGACACCTGACTGCAGGTGGCACCCTAGGTCTATTAAAGCAGTGTTTCTCAACCTTGGGAACTTTAAGATGTGGAGACTTCAACTCCCAGAATTCCCCAACCAGCATGGCTGGCTGGGGAATTGAGCGCTGAACAGGCCTGCTTTTTGGACACCTGACTGCAGGTGGCACCCTAGGTCTATTAAAGCAGTGTTTCTCAACCTTGGGAACTTTAAGATGTGGAGACTTCAACTCCCAGAATTCCCTAGCCATGATGGGGAATTCTGGGAGTTGAAGTCCACACACCTTGAAGTTCCCGAGTTTGAGAAACACTGTATTAAACAATGGGCAAAGGCACTCACAAGTTCTGCATTTGAGTTTGCCCTCTGTAATTTCAGATTGCTCTTAACCCCGCAGCACTGCACTGATCAGTCCTTGTTCCTCTTCCTTTTGAACTCTATCAGCCTATGTTTCTTACAATGATCTGTTCCTGCCTTCCTTCTCATCAGCCTCTCAAGATCAGTTTTGCAAAATATGCTAGCTAGAGAAATCCTTTGGCGAGTAAGAACATGAGCAAAACTCCGCTGAGTCAGGTCAGCTTTCTCCTGCTTCCTGTTTCCACAATCAGCTGGTCAGATTGGGAAGGTCCACAAGCAAAGTTTTAAAGATTATCGGTAGCCTTTGGTCATCTTAGTAGTGCTTGGCAACTACAGTCCAAAATAGCTCCATTAGCATCAGGTTGGGAAAGGCTCCTCCAGTCACTGGCTGGGCTTACAAAACACACCAAGCCACAATTAACTTAATCATGGTTTAATTAAGAATTGTTTACATTCATGCACGACCATATATCCTGGTGTTGTCAGCCCTTCGAGGTAGTCCAGACAAGAAGCACAAACCACAAGTGCTAACACTACGTTTTATGGTAAGGTTAAAGTAACAAAATCTTGCAAGTCTGAAAGCATTTCTCCCCTCCTTTACTTTTAGTTTCCAGATAACTAGGGAGGGTCACTTCTGAGATGCTTCCAACTTTTCCTTCTATGGATTGATACCTTTTGCATGATGTTTATCTAGGCTGTGGCTCTTCCTCCTGCCCCCAAAGTCATTCCCACAGACCATTACATCTGTAGAAATTCTGGCTGAGTTCATACAATGCTCTAAGCCAGTGTTTCTCAACCTTGGGGACTTTTAGGTGTGTGGGGATTTACTCCCCCCCAATCTCCCCACGCCACCCGCGCTGGCGGGGGGG